ACCTTTTTTTTTCTACTAATCAAGAATGAATTTGTTGTATTTCTATGCTATATCTTCACTGTGGCAAGGACCACCAAATCCTTCCTAAGCAAAGAAGGTTGCTGAACGAGTCAGCATCAAATCAAGGAAGTAGGCACCAATCTGTTTAATTCATGGACCAATTAAGGGTGATAGTGATAGCTGAGACACCAGTGTTCTGTTAGACGCTCACAAGCAGCCTCCACATGGCCCTACTTAGGAAATGTTGGGATGAGGGTACCAGAATAGAGAAACCCATAAAAGAAAACTTGCAGAGATTTTTCAGAAGGCTCCCAGAGTGTCCAGCTAAGTATAAACCAGATATTTTGTGAGGAAATTACTAGAATCACCTAGAGGAACTGAAGGAATACTCTCCTAACCTCATATACATGTTCTGCCTAAGCTAGAGAAATAGCAATGCCCTGGGTCCCTCCCTTGACTCTCTCTTGCCCGTTCTTCTCATTAGCTCGGCACACTGGAACAAACCTGTAGATTTTGAAAAGCAAAAATGCCTGGACAGCTGGATGTCATTGGTTTGAGTGCAGTCACGGCACACAGGGGACTTTAAAAGCCCTCCTGATGAGCCTACTAATTTAGAACCAATACTTTAGGCTGAACCAGGCAGAAGACAGAGTTTTGGATCATAGGACGTTTGTCTGGCAGAAATTGGCATTCTTCAAGATAGGGTGAGGGTTTGATAGCTAGCAGATCCAGGATTTGTAGATGGCACAAAGAGGTGAATAGAGACAAGGCAAAATGTGAGAGCTAACCCCCTACACCCCATTCCACCCAACCCTCGCCACCAGTCTTTCTGGGGTCAAGTAAAACTGATACCCTAGCTGGATGTAGAGTTTCTCCCTGTAGCTTACTGCTATTCCTCCTATGAGCATTCATGCTATACAACCTTTGTGGGATACTTCCAGTGTGTTCTGAGCTGAGTTATAACCCAGCATCTTGTAGTGTCCCCACAGAAAAGCTTGGCATTCCTCTTGCTATTGTATCATCTATTTCTGTTTTCCAGAATTCACTGGCTGGCCCACTTGGATGGATGCTTAGCTACAATGAAGTAGTCACTCATAACTAACAACAGGTAATGTATCACTCCATCTGCCTAAGTATAAGAATTTCAGGATAAAATGTTGAATTGACTACATTTCCATGTGCCTCTGAAAATGGGAATCAATTTAAATCAAATAGCATAGGCAATAGCCTGACCTTGACTAATAAGAACTTATAAATTACAAATGATTTGTTGCAGTTTATTTGGTCACAACCCTATTCATGGTCTTTTAAATATTCAGCCAAGTAAACATACCCTTAAGATATATTTGTATCCCTAATCATCTTCTTATGATTAGGCCTAGAAATATACTTGCTATAAGTTCCAAAGTCTTATCCTTTCAAATAAAAAAGACATTGACTTTTTTCAGTGTAGCTAGTAAGCATTATTTTATTTGCCCAAAGAATAACTTTCCAAAGAAGGATAAAATCCAAGGTCAAAATCAGAAATCATTTGCTCTCTGTGAGTGAGTGTGGATGAGTGTTTTGACTCCTGAAAAATAGAGCCAAACTTCTGGAACTGTTAAAATATCAAGCAGTTCAAAACAAGACAAGCTATTTTTACAAACTGTTTTTCTGGTGTGATTTTTTGTCCATTATGAATCCATATAAACAAAGGAGGAGGCAACAATGCTTGATAAGAAATGTTCTCCTTACTGTGCTTATGTAACTGTAACCCCTCTGTACAGTATTTTCACAATAAAAAACTTATTAAAAAAGAAATTGTGAAAATGCACTTCTAACTACATCAATGTATTTATAGTTTTTATGGTAGTGTTCAGTCTCATTAGAATAGTAAATGGCGAAAAATGTATAAGAATACATACAAACCACAGATAGACCTTCCTTTGTGGTCCTACAAGGAAGATATAACACTAAGATACTCTTCAGAAAGATAATTTCCTCATTTTTTGTTTTGGGTTGGTTTTTGGTAGTACTGGGGTCTGAAATCCAGGCCCAGTGCTTGCCTGGAAGCCACTCTATTTGAGCCATACCTTCATCCCTTCAGCATTTTTTTTTTTTTTTTTGCCAGTCTTGAGCCTTGAACTCTGGGCTTGGGCTCTGTCCCTATATTCCTTTTTCTCAAGGCTAGCACTTTACAACTTGAGCTATAGCACCACTTCCAGCTTTTTCTGTGGTTGATTGGAGATAAGAGTCTTGAGGACTGGGGCTAGGAAGGTGGCTCAGTGGTAGAGCACTTGCTTTGCATGCCTGAGGCCCTGGGTTCGATTCCTTAGCACTACATAAGCAAAAAAAAAAGAAAAAAAGCCAGAAGTGGTGCTGTGGCTCAAGTGGTAGAGCGCTAGCCTTGAGCTGAAGAGCTGAGGGACAGCACCCAGGCCCAGAGTTCAAGCCCCACAACCGGGCCCCCTCCCCCCAGAAAAAGAGTCTTGAGGACTTTCCTCCCAGGCTGGCAATACTGCAATCCTCAGATCTCAGCTTTCTGAGTAGCTAGAATTACAGGCATGTGCCACTGATGCTTGGCCCCTTCAACATTTTAATGTATGATAAACTACACATTTTTAAAACCCTCAAATCTCAACAACTACCACCCAACTGAGTTCCCACAATTATCACCTAGAGAAATAGATCCATTCTGCTGAGTATAACCGTGGGCTACAGTATCAGAATCCTTTAATACTATTTTAAGTAATTAATATCTCTTGACAGAATTAGAAATGCAAAATAGGTGAACAGACATATACTGATAGAACCCCAGCAGGGTCTCCAGAACAACCATGTGACCATAGGGCCTACCTTCTTCCATCACATCATTAAGTAAGAAAAAGGGAGGTGCTCTTGTGGTGAATAAAAACAGAAAATTAAGGTTACAGGAACTGCAAATGTTTAAACAAGTAATAATATTTCACAGGAAAGGAAAACACAAATGTAAGCGCATACCTTTACCCAAAGCAGATACTTACCTATTAGGATGCTATCATGGAATTACAAGCTCCAGAGGAAAAAGACAAATGCAGAAAGGAACTCTTTTCTTAGCTCACGTGAAGAACTTAACACTAGCACTGAAAACAGAACCTGTATGTAAATTCTCTTCTGATTCACTGTTCAACTGATGGTGCATTACATAGTACTGTCTAGGAGTTCCACTCACTGGTAACACCTAACTAGGAATAAAGCACTGATTTTGAAAATACTATTCGTGTGAGATCCACTCATACGCAGGCAGAAGGGTAATCCACACAGAACAGAGAACATAAACACGACCTGCCCAAGGTTAAAGGACATTCTGGGTCCTTAATGTTACAAGTGCTTTTTCAGAATGGTGCCACTGGCTGTACCTCAGGGACTCTGTGGTCTGGGAACCATCCTCACAGTGCCTGACTTTGTTTAATGAAAACAAAGGGGTCAAAGATTTGAAGGAGGAAAAAAGAACAGGACATAGTCTCCCAAAGCAAAACCAAACCAAACAAGGAAAAATATTCACAGTTGTTTAGAGGAAAAGCATAACTCTTGGTTGAAATTTTAAATTAGAAAACTTTCCTTGATGATAAAGGGAAATGAAAGACTAAGATCAATATTTTCCAAATCTTGTCACTATTTCTTCTTTTTAATGTATTGCAGAATCAGTAAATTTATAGATTACCACATACACACACACACACACACACACACACACACACACACACACACACACACACACACACACAGCATGTTCAAAAGCTTGCTTTTAGCTATGACAACTTGAAATCTTGGAGAGAGAGATGTTATATTCTTTTACAAGGCAAGAATATTTTAAGTGTGACTGGCTTCACATTTCTGATCAAAATATAAAACAGAAAAAACACTCTCTAAAGAATAAGGACTTCTAAGCTGGGCGCTGGTGGCTCACGCCTGTAATCCTAGCTACTCAAGAGGCTGAGATCTGAGGATCTCGGTTCAAAGCCAGCCTGGGCAGGAGAGACCGTGAGACTCCTATCTCCAATAAACCACCAGAAAACCAGAAGTGGCGCTGTAGCTCAAGTGGTAGAGCACTCGCTTTGAGCTGAAGAGCTGAGGGACAGTGCCCAGGCCCAGAGTTCAAGCCCCAAGACCGACAAAAAAAAAAAAAAAGAATAAGGACATCTTCAATCAGGAATAGGCAAACATCAATAATGAGAAATCCTATTCAACAAAGATACAGTAGGAGTTACATCCCATAAAAAAGATAACATTTACTTGCAGTAGTAAGCAAGTCTATTTTGTCTTTTTTATTAAAAATAAACCACTATAAGGCCTACAAGGAAATTTGGGGGAAAAAAAGAAGATTCTTAAATAGTTGATGTCTTCTTGACAAACAAAACTGCAGATTCATATAACCACTAGAATTAAAAGTTATGCACAGTTTCCTTCATGTAATAGCTTGGAGTATTAATACAAGTTATTTGGGGTGGGGGCAGGGATAGAACCTAGAGCCATGTGCATATTCTAAGTGTTTTACCAATGAACTATATTCCATGCCCAGGTCATCTTTATATTTATCCATTTATCAAACCTCTATGTTATTAAGTTTCTGAGAATAAATAAAGGCTAGAAAAACATAATTCATTTTCCTCATCATAAATGCCAGAGACAGGTGACTCTTCAAGGTCTATAGAATAAATCATACAGCTCACTAGACTGATGGTCCACACCTGAAAATGTTTCCTGGCAGACTCTGAACACATGGCTAAGCAGCTTATAGATCTTTTCTGAGGAGTTGGAAAAAGAAGGAAGCCACTTTTGTTGCTTGTTTGTCTGTCTCAAATAATCTAGCCAAATCATGCCTTCTGCCTGTTGTTTCTATTTTAAGGACAAAGAGCAACAAAAAGCTACATTCTCATCCTAACCCTAATCCTAATGACAATATCTTTTTATATGCTAAAATATACAGGGAGCTGTAGCCCATAAAACACAGTTCATTTGCCATAGTAAGCATTTCTTACCTGATGTGGCCAATCAATTCGATAAGCTTGTGACTGAAAAAATAAGCTGTCAGCTCAGACACGTGACTCAGGACTGAACACACTCCAAACAGGGTTGTCGTTCCATTCAGATCTTCCAAATGCCAGTAAAGAAAGGTGAACACGAAGCCATATCCAAAACCCATAAACCAAGCCACAAACAACACTGAGCCATACTGCACGCTGCAGAGAAGTTTGATCAAGTCCCAGAAGTTGAAGGCCTGGGAGTGGCTGGTGGTGGTGGGTGTCTCCTCAGAGGACTCCGTGGAGTTGTTCCTTTCTACCTGAGGGATCTCTACCTCTTTCCCTTTACTCTCGTTGTTTGTAAAGTGGTTGTAGCGGAACCGGAACTGAGTAGCCACAATCAAGGCCATGGTCATGAGAACTCCAAAGACGATGAAGACAATCTGGTAGTTCCGGTACTCGGGGGGCTTACATCCCTTTCCATCAATGAGCACTTCTATGTGAGTATAGTCAATTCCAATACCTACAGACAGCATCGCCAAGCCCCAGCCCAGGGAGCCCCACATGCGCTGCAATCCATAGCGATCTCTGTGTTTTCCCAGATACTGTAGTGTCACCGTGTCCACAATCGTTACAGAAGAGGCACTGAAAAATTCTCCTATAATGACAACTACCAAGATCACCAAGAATATTGCTTCAACTTCCTGCTGATCATAGACAAGAGTGACTTGGTCCAATGGTAAAGATTTGGTGGTAGTGACAATAGCAGTGGTTGTCTCCCTGGTGACGTTTCCTGTGGGGACAGGGATTGTTGTGCTTGCATTCAAGATCAGTTCTATAATATGGTCAGTAATGCCCTCTGTTTGGGGCTGTAGGGTGGGCTCACTGGTCTTGGGCAAAGCTGTTGTATAGATATCAGGAACTATGCTGTCAGGCTCGGCTTCTACTGTGGACCAGTTGGAAGGAGGCATGTTTCTTTTCTCACGTATTTTTGGTGACATGGTAAGGAAAGAGACAGCAGAGGAATTCATTGGCAGGATGGTTACTGGATGACTTGCGTTGGTGGGGCGAGCTGTTGGGGGAATCTTTGGTACACATCTCAAGGTAGCAGGTTTGACAAATCCAATACCCAGGTTGAACAAAACCCAACACAAAAGTGAAAAGAGGAGGACAATTTTGCCTTTTCTGAAGCGATCTGCAACAACACCCCAAAATGGGGCACTACAGAATTCAATAAAATATCGAATACCTACAAGTAGTCCACTCTGGCTTGGTGACATTCCAAGCTGCTTATAATACACAGGCAAAAGTGGGTAAAGAGAGCCATAGGCAGAGTAAAAGAAAAAATAAAAAACCTTGGAAATGAGAAGATCATTGTTTATTTTAACACAATGTTTTTCTATCCAGTCTATTTCCTCCTCAGGAATAGCAGATGTTTCTGTGGAGGAGGGTGTTTCATTTGAGGGTGGATCTGGGTCCCTGGAAATACCATTAAAGGGGTCAGCAAGCACGTATTTTCTCTTCTGCTCCTCTTCATCATCAGTTAAAATAGCAACTTTATCATCTGCCGCCATGGCTTACCACCACCATCAAACTTTGAATGGGTGATCTGCAAAGTAAATTGTAAAAGATGGTTTAGTAATGAAAATAATATGCAAACAGAATTTCACCATTGTCCTAAAAGATGAGTAAATTCAGGATACACCTAAAATAGGGGAGGATTTTAATCATTAACTATTCAATCCTAGTAAAGGAAAATAGCTTAAAAATTAAATACTCTTTGTGGCCAATGACTAATTACATTATTCAATGCTTAGATTCACCCTAAATCTTTTATTTTTCATTCCAAGGGGAAGTCTACAAGTGTTAGGGATTACATTGAGAATAAAAAAACTACTTCTAGATTCTTGATTTTACTACTCAAACAAACTCTGCAATGAGAAGCCTAAAATTATTCAGAAATTAAAGGCAGCCAAAACTATTCAGTTTTTAGAAGAAAACAGAAATGAACACTTAACCACAACCCCAAATGTAATAAGAATGACAACTAACTGTACTTTTGTGACTTAAATTAGTTACTAGAAACATAAGACATTTTGGTAACTCTTTTCATTACATATGCATATCAATGATATGTTTTTAATGATATTATAGATATGGTTTGACAGATTATATTTGAGAAAAAAACAGGAGATAACATTTATTGAGGGTGTAGCTCAGTGAAACAGTGCTTGCTTATCTTGTTTGAGGTTCTGGTTTGATGACAGGGAGGGAAGAAGAAAGGAGGCAGAGAAGGAGGGAGGGAGGGAAGGTGAGAGGGAGGGATGAAAGATGGGAAAATTCAATCTCTTAATGTGTTACACCAAAACCACTCATTGAGCACTTAATCTCTATGGGGAAATGTATCTTTACATCCATTAATTTATATTCATCACCCCATGGCAACCACCTTCTCCCTTTTATAGAGGAGAAAAATGAAGCCTTGCACCTTTAAGTGTAAGTGGTAGAGCCAATATTTGAACCCTGAGCTTCAAAATACATACTCTGATAGTCTAAACCAAATGGCCAAATACCACATTTTAGACAATGTTATGAATCCTTTTTTAGAGACAAAGTTTTTCATATGAAAGATTAGCACTATCTGTTGCCTCGCCATCAAAGACTCTCTCCGAACCTCTATAATGTTTTGCTTTTGCGATATGAGGGTTTGAAATTGGAGCCTCACCTTGCAAGGCAGACACTTTACTGATGAGCCATGCCCCCAGCTCCTTTGCTTGCTGACAATGTTTAAGACAGGGATTGTTTTCTTCCCAGGGTGCACACCTGGATCTGGATGCTGATCCATCTGTTCTAACTAGGATGATTGTGCATGTCATCATGACAAGCCAGTGGCTGAGAAGGGGTCTTGTGAACCTTTTGGCCTGAATCAGGATCCTCCCAATCTCAGCCTCCCAAATATGTAGAATCACAGGGAGCTACCTGTGCCCAGTTTATTTCTCTTTCATCGTATCTAGCTATCCAACACAGCAGCTCCAGTTTCACTGTCACTTTAAAAGAACAAGTAATTCCCCTTTGAGATTATTACCTAAATCAGTTTAATTCCTGCTCAAAACTAAAAGATATGTTTGTTGTGTTTGAAATGTATAAAAAAGTTGGGTGAACAGGGAACATTATAGATATCTAGCTTTGTTCTTTCCCTAAATCAAATAAAATGGCAATAAACACATACTTTTGTATGTGTTAGGAAGAATTAAAGAGATTGCTCAATAATAGTCACAATGAATTAAGGTCATTTTACATATGTAAGTTTTCAAAAAGTTAATTTCTCTGTCTTGGTGTATGCTGCCACCCCCAAGAAACAGTAAAATATGGGCTATAGGAACTCAGTCATCTGCCATGGGAGACAGGCACAGGAAAACAGGGCTCGTAACAGATGCCAGAATAACAGCTGGGAACCAGGCACAAATGGCAACCGGTCTAGCAGGTCTAGAAAGTTCCATGAGAGACTAACAGCTAAATGATATCCCTGAGATATCAATGTATCTGAACAGGTCCTATGAGGAAATTTTAGGCAACCTGTACAGGGCTCAGAGATAAGTGAGTGATAAGTACAGAGGAAGTTAAGTAAACAGAACGTGACAAGAAAAAGTTTCACAGGAAGAGAAAATAATCACAGTTTGTGACACATCTCCACTGTAATTTCCTTCATAGTAGTGTAAATAATGATAACAGAACTCACCCAAACTGCCACCCAAAGGGTAATGGAGAAGACCTAGTAGGCATATACAATAAGGAGCAGGGAAGTGAGTTAACTCTGAATTTTATATAATGGATAATAAATTATAATATATAATAAATTAATAAAAGATAATAAATTATGTTTAACCAGACTTAAACACTGTGCAGTGTTTATGTGTATGGAAATGTGGCACCATTAAAGTGTGTAATACTTGTTACAGAAGAGTTAAAACACTAACTTGAATTTAAAAAGGAAGAAAGAAGAAAGCTATATGCAGTCAGATATGTTATGGCTTTGCAAGTGACAGTAATTTAAACTGGCTACTGGTATCTTTCCATCTCTGACTAAAACTACGTTTTGGAATTGCACAGAGTATCTGATTGCATGAATTCTAATCAGGGGCCATATTTTGGCCTTTAAGAAATTAACTATGCTCCCTAAATCAACTGCCAAGACATTATCAAGTAGATTAGAGGGGGACAAAAAGTCTTCCTGAAAGGGAAAAATACCATGAATTGTTGAAGTTATATTAGAGAATTGATGCCTAAATTCTAATCCAAAGACATAAAATCTCTTTTATGGTGTGTATCACCCTTCTGAGCCATACTTTCCACCTCTCTTTACTCAAAATCCTTCTGATTATAAGATTGTAAAAGGTTTCTCCTATTACATAAGTCCTGATATTAAGGATTTCTCAAAAAATTGGGGGTGGGGAAGAGTACTAATAAACTCCAGGTAGGTAAGGAAATGTCCTAACTATTACATTTCAAATCCATTTGTATAAAAGTCATACTCGGGTAACTTTTATATGACCTTCAAATCTAAAAATTAAAAAAAATATGAGTAGAGGACATTGATTTTTAGATATCCTCATGTTATCTTTAGATTTTAAAGAAGAAGAAGAAAACTTGGAGAGATCATTATAACAGCTATGAAATAAAAGTATAACTGAAATCATCTCTGTAATAACATGATTGAGGATCAAAGAAATAAACAAGGAGTAACTTCTATATCTTAATAAACTTAAACATGGTCCAAAGTCATGATCTCTGTCTATAAATTAACCTACATTTAACTTACTGCAAGTTGAGAGAAAATGTAAGAATTGGTAATACATAGGTTGCCTTATATATTTAACATTTCCACAGTGAGAGGAAACTTTGTTTATGAAGTTGATATGAACTGAATATCTGTGTTCTTCCAAATTTTAAAATCAAAGCTCCAACTCTCAGTTTGACTATACAGATGCATATTTTGGACTTAAAAGGGGCACTAGGCGGTGAGATCATCTTGCTGGATCAAATACAGTGACAACAGGGGATATACCATAGGGGGAAGAACATACAAAAGAACAAAAAAATCACACAATAACAACAAAGAAAAACCTCTTGTGTCCATGTCTTAGAGTTAACTTCACATAGCATCATCTTATATGGTCATATGTACATAGCTATTAAGCTATTCTGCTCATATGATAAGATTATCCTAGATGTACATTAAGATCCTGAATAGCAAAAACAATCCTTAGCAGAAAAAAAAACAGTGCTAGAAGAATGTCAATACCAAACTTCAAACTCTATTGCAAAGCCATATAATCAAAACAGCTTGGTACTGGCACAAGAACAGACCTGAGGACCAGTAGAACTGAAGACCCAGAAATAAACCCTTATCTTTGATAAGGGAGCAAAAAAAAATAGAATGGAAGAAAGACAGCCTCTTCAGTAAATGGTGCTAACAAAATTGGTAAAACACCTGTAGAAAACTAAAGTTAGATCTTTATATATCAACTTGCACAAGAATCAACTTCAAATCAATCAAAGACCTTGAAGTAAAAGCAGACACCCTGAAAACATTACAGGAAGGTATAGGAGAAACTCTAGGGTTCCTTGGTACAGGCCAAAATTTTCTTAATAAAGACCCAGAAACAACAAATCAGAGAAAAGTTGGACAAATGGGATTGCATGAAACTGCAGAGCTTCTGCATGGCAAAGGATATAGCTAGCAAGATCAATAGAAAGCCCATGGATTGGGAAACGATCTTCACTAGCCATACAACAGACAAGGGTCTCATATCTAAAATACACTTAGAACTCAAAAAATTAAAATTATTTTTTAAAGAGAAAGAAAGAAGAGAGACAAAGAAGAAACTAAAAGAAAAGTGAGGGTTGTATATGGCACGGCATGCATCTGTAATTTCAATTACCAACTAGGCATGGTGGTGTGTGCTCGTGACCTCAACTACATGTTAGGCATTGAAGGATTATGGTCTGAGGAAAAAACATGACCCTTATTTAAAAAAATAAAAGAGCTAGGGACATGGCTCAAATGGAAGACTGCCTGCCCAGTAAAACTCTGATACTGCCAAAAAAAAAAAAAAAAGCAAACCAACAAACAAAAAGAATGAGAAGACATTTCAAATTATACACAGAAATGTATAAACTTCAATAAATCCCCATCACAGGTTTGCATCAGGCATAATTGGATAAGAAGGATGTATGCTTAATTTTTAGAGAGTCAGAAAAGTTTTCTCACCTAGCACAGTCTAATTATAGTAATCAACACCACTACAGTACAAATATAACACAGCATTAAAAGGTATCCTACCAGTACCTGCACTGAGTCATTCAAATGGCAGCCATTTCTGAATTATTGAGGAGAGGCAATGAAATCATTCTTGCTAAAATTGATGGTTGTCTTCATTAAGTATCTAAATTCACATGGAGCAAACACATTGTTATCCATAATTATATGGGTATGGAAGTAGATTAAAGTTGGGGGGGGCATCATATAAAAATAAAATATATTACTTAGGACAGTGATTGTCAATGTCAGTTGACAAAGACAGTAAGAATGTGTGCTGTGAACACAGC